CTGTGCTCGACCCCTAAGCGACCCCCAAGCGGGGTGGAGATTCTGAGTGTTAACTCCTCTGCACCACCGACACATTAAAGACAACATATTAAAGACTTACTCCTATCTCTCCGGAGTGCTGCCTTTTTATTTCTCAGCTGTCTGGTTTCCTGCAACAAAATATCTCTAAGAGTCCTTTTAATGATAAGTCTATCACCAGATGCTTCCTTAGGGACATCTTCATCCTTTTCATCTCTTTTTTCATGCATGTAAGTTTGCCTTCACTAAGTTTCTCTGGCTGCAGATCTAGTCTCTAGAATAGCAACAGCATCAACATTCTCCAACAGCCATTTCTTCTATAACTCCATTTGCATTCTACTCAAATTTTACTTCGAACCTTCTATTTTCCATCTTTGTGGCACATTCACCTTTATTGTTCACTTCTCAATTACTGGCTTCTTTACAATGCATGTGAGTTTAATGCTGGAGACTAGGAGGCAACCCAACTATACACTTTGCTGTCTGTGCATGATGCATTGTGACCAATCACTTCTAAGTGTTTGTAAAAGCTGTTGGTCACTAACCATTATGCATCTCCTACTTAAGTAGTGATTTGTGGACTAAAGAGCTAGCAGCAATTGTATGTACCTTATACAAATAACTACTGCCAGTTAATACTTTGATAACTGGATTGTTAACAGTTGTTTTTGTTTTTGAACATTTACTTCTGATTTTCAGGCCGCCAGGTCTAAGATTTGAACCACAGTTGGCCTTGTAGAAGTCCAGAGCCTTAATCACACCACCTGTCAGTTCCAGACTGTGAAGTGTTCTTGAGAACCTGCTATTATTCATGTATACTGCAATCATGCAAAGCAAAACTGCCTGTACCCTGCACTGAGAACTGCTGGGTTCCCACTTACCTTTCAGTGTGTAAAATTATATTTTAAAGTGGTATGAAGGAATAATACTGCCCACACCTTGATCATACTTCATTTTCAGAGCTGGAATGGTACAGCAATGTAAATTCTAAGAGGGTATTTCTGAAACTAAGGAAAGTGATTCCATTTGTAAACTTTTGCTCTACAATAAGGAAGAAAGGAAAACGGGAGGAAATGGAGAGAAACAGATTCTAAATCCTTCAAAATACTTGGCACTAACTGACTTTGGCTTTACTAATATAGACTATTGGTATCCTGTATTCTCCTTCCTTAAAACTCAATATATGGGCTGGACAGTGGCACAGCAGTGGCTCAACTGGACCCACATAGAAAGGCCCTCAGTTTGTACCCCAAGACCTCCCTGTGCACACTGGGCTTGCATGCATATCTGGGTAGACGATGCTAGGGGTGAATGGCAATGCAGGGACCTTGTGGGGTGTCTCTTTCTCTCTCGAGGATATAAATATATAGACGTCAAAAATACAAAACAGAAAATAATCTCTCAATATGTTCCATACAAAATTCTAAGTCTCTAATTGCTTATTTAAATTAACTATACACTGTTCCCATTCACTAATACTGCACAGATTGCCAAAAAACAGGTCAGGGTAGGACCAGCAGTTAGCCTAATGGCTATGTTGCTGAACTCCCATGCAGTCTACTGTGGTTCAACTCCCAGACACGGTGGCTTAAACTCACACCGGGTGCGTGTGCATGCGTGTCCAAGATCCCGAGGAGAATGGAGAAGGGACTGTGGCGTGGCCATCCCCCCTGGGGGGTGATTTCTTGCTTTCTGTCTCTCTCTCTTTCTGAGCAAGCACCCTGTAGCAAAAACCTCTCCCCTCCCAAAAAAAAAAATAAAAAAAATAAAAAAACCCACAATAGGTCAGGGTGAGCCCAGCCACACAGCACATGCTGGTTAATGGTGCTACTCAGTGGGAGCCCAAGTTCAATTTCCGGTCCACCCTAAACTCGAGTGCAGCAGCACACACCTGTAGCCCCAGCTACTTAGCAGGGAGGCAGTAAGTCTGCAACATAACAAGACCCTGTCTAAAAAAGTAAAATTAATAATAAGGTCAAGAGAAAAATCTTTTGGCCATCTATAAACATGACCTGTATGATCAGGTCATAAAAATTCATTGAAATTAGTTTATAAAAGACAACTCATTCTGTTCTAGAAATTCAGTATCACATAAAACAAGAAACGTCCTTTTATGTACCAATGATGCTACAAGAAAAATTATGAACACATATTATTTTTCTTGCTTAAAAATATACTTCCCAGGTATTTCTAGCTTCCTTAAAAATAAAACATTCTATGAAGCCAGCAGATGGTGTAGCAGTTACATTGCTGGACTCCCACATGGGCCACCACGGTTTGAGTCGTAACCCAGTGACTCGAAACTCACACCAGGCATATGTGTATTTATGACCGCATATGTGTATTTATGACCAAGATCCCAGGAGAATGGAGAAGGGATTGCAGAGTGGCCATCCCCCCCAGAAGGGGTGATTTTTCACTTACCCTGTCGCCTTCTGTCTGTATATCCAGCAAGCACTCGTATCCTAAGACAAAAACCTCTAATTTAAAAAAAAATTTTTTTAAAAAAGGGCATTCTAGTTTTTAAGCTAGAATGGAGAGAGGGAGGGTGGGTAAACTGGCAACTGGCTTAACACCTTATCAGCAGTGAAGCCCAACACTTATTATGGCCTGCCCACCCCCATACCACCCATACATGACTTCCAGTCAGCATCTTAACACCTCTCACATACAGACAACCTAGGCTCGTCCCACAGTACGGAAAGCCACCCTAGCAAAATACCCTACGGGAGTGAGAGGATTATAGATACACATTATTGGATTACATGGATTTTTGATGTTCTAAGCATTTCATATGTCAGCTCAACTCAATGCTGACAGGAACTCAATGAGATGGGTACTGTTTCTATTTTGTCATAGAGATGACAAAGCATGAAAAATTAACTCATCTGAAATCAAACAGCCAGTAAGCATCAGAACCAAGCCCCGAGTCCATGCCATTAACTTCAAATCACCACCCCTCAGCATGGAAACAGGGTTCAAGATGCATGCGGGGACCCAACAGATCTAGGGAAACAGAGGGAAGGGAACAGAAGACTTCTTTAAAAACTAAAACTATGGGGGCAAGTCATTGGCATGGAGAATTAAGACACTGGATCTGACATGTGTAGCTGCACTGTTTGAGTCTTGGACCCAACAACTTGAAAATCACGCCAGGCATGTGCAGGTGCCCAAAATTCCGAGAGGAAACTACAGGAAGAAAAAAACTAAAATTATGATTCACAACTTGAGATATAATAAAACAGTACGTCTACAGAGAGTGAAATGATATGAAAAAGGACTGTGGATAATTAAGAGAATTGGGATCAGCAGGCAGCTTGGTGGTTGAGGGTTCCCACATGGCCAACTGCAGTTCGAGTCCTGGACCTGGCAACCTGCTTTCTCACTTTCCCTCTCTCACTCTGTCTCTCTCTGGTCAAATTAAAATAAATAAATAATGTTAAATAAAAATATTCCTTAGGACCAGTAGCTGGCATAATAACTATGTGGCTGGACTCCCAATGTAGTCAACTGCAGCTCGAGTCCCAGACCCGGTGGCTTAAACTCATGCGGGGCGCATGTGCATGCGTGCCCAAGATCCCAAGAGGAGAATGGAGAAGGGAATGCAGCTTCGCCGCCCCCACCGGGGGGTGATTTCTTGCTTTCTATCTCTGTCTTTCTGGTAAGTAAACACACCCTATAGCAAAAACCTCTCCCCCCCCCAAAATAAATAATAATTCTTTAAAAGAATAATAATAGAGAATCAAGAACCTGGAAGAGAAAATGAAAGCTAAAATATTCAATAAAATGACCAAGAAAAAGAATTTTTAAAAGCTTTCTTCCAAAGTAGAACTAAAACACAGTCTTAGAAGTTATCAGCAGAGGAAGTTAAATATTTGATGAAAAGAAATCCCTAAATCAGAAGAAACTGGGGGGAGAGGATGTAACCAAAATTCCCCAGAATGGCAGAAGTGAATCCTTTCAAATACCCTAATCAAAGAATGAAAACAGGACACAAGATATGTCACCACAGAATTTCAGATCACCAGAGAGTAGCTTCCAGTGAGAAGAATCAGAATGAAAATCAATGTGAGTTTCTCAATAGCAACATAGGAAGTTATAAGACAAAGAATCAGTGCCTTCAACACTCTATTTTTATTTTAATTTTTTTATGGCCAGAGGGTGTGTGTGCTCTTAACAGACAGAGGGAGAAAGTACCCCAACAATGGGCCATAGTCACACTGCAATCCCTTCTCCTCCATTTATCCATCCTATCAGGATTTGGGGCATGCATGCACACACACCTGGCATGTTTTCCAAACCTCTGGGGTCCAGATTCAAACTGCCAGTCAGTCATGTGGGCTCCAGCTCCCATAACCACCAAGCCACCGGGCCAGGCCAAGTGCCTTCAACATTCTAAGGAAAACTTCATACCACCAAATTAAAGGCAATCTCACAAATCCAAGGAGATACAATGTTCACCACTTGTATTCCCTTTCTGAGGAAGATGTTGGGAGATGACACACTGGAAAAGAAGGCATGAGCTAAGTGAGGAAAATATGAGATCCAGGAAATAATGGAGCCAATCCAGAAGGTCTAGAAGAGACAAAGTGACAGCTGTGTGAGAGACCTATGTTACAGCAGGAAAATTGTAAGGTGGAAAAAATGACAAAGCATCGGGAATAAGCTAAGGAGATAGAAGGAAAATTAAGCAAGCAGAAAGCAAGCAGAAAAATAGAAGGCAATGATTAAATCAAGGGGAAAAAAAGCTGATACTGTATCACAAAGAAAATCTTAGCATAATACATCTAGCTTGCCAGATGGACTGTGATAAAACTAGCTGGAAGGATGGTAGAGAAGACATGAGGGAAGCGTAAGTGAAATCTATTATGAAGGAAGGCAATCTGGACTCAAAAAGTCTACTGTTATCAATAAATAGCAATATTATTTAATAAACAAAATAACTCTGAAATCTTTTAGTCCTGAGAATTTAACCAAGGGTGTATATCTCCTTGAAAACTTTTCTTTAGTTTATTGAAAGAATATTTTACAAACAGAAATCAACAGAAGGGATTCACTTGTGTTGTGAAATTCAAAGTTTTCATCCCTTTTTCTTGGTTCTTTGTATCAAGAGATGCTATTCAGCGTGTTCTGCTCTTCATCTTCTCTCTTGTTCGTTTCCCAGGTCTCTTCTATAGAAAAAGAAATATTACACCTGGTCACACAGCACATGGTCTTCTTCCCCACGGGGAGAACAGACAGAAGGACGAGGAGACGGTAGGGGTGGGAAAGGAGGCTGGGACTGTCCCTCACCCAGGCCTACTTACATTTGACCCTTTTTTCCCAGGCCTCCTGAGGCCCTTGCCATGAGCTGTCTTGGCCCGGAAGCTGGATACGTCATCATGACTCTCACGAGTATTCCACTTGGAGCCTTTTTTCTTTCCACCAAAACCAAACTTCTGGTTTTTATATCGTCGTTTAGCACTAGGCCTGAAAAACGGCAGCCCTACAGGTTACCCGCACCATTGTAAATCCCAATGAATCTTGCAGCACACTGACATCCTCAGTTTCCTATTTAGCCCCTTAGGCACTAGTCCCCCACAACCTCAACCGTGACCCTGCATTTCCACAATACCACAAACTCCCCGGACGAGCTCATTTATTTATGTTTTAACTCTCTGGGCAGAAAAATAAAGCAAAAACCAAGAAAGGAGCTACGTTTCTCATGAGGCTTACTGCTATCTTTGGAAAACTTTCTATTTTAACTGTATCTTGCTAAATCATCCTCAGTTGTTTCTATTGCTCTCAAGGATGTATGCATGCAGTTAACGTTCACAAACATAACACATTTTAAAACTGGTCAGCCCATGGAAATCTCCAAATCACATATTCAAAATCACACGTCATTGCCCTTCTCAGACGGGTTTACCTCCTGCATATCTGCCCTACCTTGTGGTCACTATATATGCTCTAATTTGAGGTTGGTGCCATGACCATCTCTACCTGTCCTAGCTTGGGGTTGATGCTATGACAGTCTACCCAACAGCACAGGCTAAAAACCTGGGGGTCAGCCCTGATTCCTCTTTCTCTACACCAAACTCCATTACTGAGTCTTATGAACCTAACCTTGTAAATATTTCTTCAATCCATTTTCTCTTTGCCTCTCCATTACCACTCTCAGGTAATGGTTGCTCATCTGAACTTGTGTAATAGTTTCCTAATCAACTTCCCTGTTTCCCTCAAATCTATCATTTACACAAGTACCTCCTGCAATCTTTTAAAACATGAATATGACCTGTTCGATGCTGAGAGTAAATCCCATAAGTGTCTCCCCGCTGCCTATCTGGCACATAATATTTCACTTAATTGACAGTAGATGAGACAATTAATACTTAGAAAGGTCAAATAATTTTCCCAAAGCTCCCTTCTTTCTGAGTGGCAGAGTCAAGATCTGAACCCTGCGTCTATATTCTTACCTACCACACCGTGTGACACAGAATCTGTTTTCACTCAGCATTCTTGTAAAATGTGTCAAACACCAGGGTCAGGTGACACAATTGCACCCACGTGTGCAAAGTCCTGGGTTCACATTCATTGCCTCCCTGTGTTTACTGAGTAAACATGTGTCTGTCATCCAGGCTGAGACTGGGGGAAAGGGGTGCGGCAGCACCTGCAGTGTGAGGACTGCATCAGGGGGTCTAGCTCTCTGTCGCCCTCTTGTGGAAGAAATAAATAAAACTTAAAGAGACCCATCAAGTACAGGCTGCTCCCTGCAGAGGTACCCTCTGTGCTGGTGCACTGCTGGCTCACCATGCGTCACAGAACCACTTCTTACCCCTTCTTCATCTGTTGCCCTTTAGCTCCCGCCTTTGCTCCCCGCGCAACCTTTGTGCCCTGTGCAGCGGGGTTCTGATCTCCCTCAAGGAAATCCAGTTTATCGGAGAAACCTGTGAATGAAGAAGTGCTTTGATTAACATCGTTTTATATGTATATGTGTGTATGTATGTGTGTGTGTGTGTATAAACTATTTTATTTAACTTTATTTATTTATTTATTTTTAGTTTCATCAGAGGGATGGGGGGGGGGGAGTAAGAAAGCAAGATGCCAGGTCCCAGCATTTAAACCCTGGTCAGCCATGTAGGAGTCCAGCACCCTTAACCATCACACCAGCAGCCAGCCCCAACTCCATTATATTTTAAAAAGAAAAGTTTGGGACCAGCAGTTAGTGTAATGGCTATGTCGCGGGACTCCCATGTAGTCGACTGCGGTTCGCGTCCCGGACCTGGTGGCTTAAAACTCAAGCCGGGCGCGTGTGCGTGCATGCCCAAGATCCCGAGAGGAGAACAGAGAAGAAGGGATTGCGGCATGGCCATCCCCCCTGGGGGGGTGATTTCTCACTTTCTATCTCTCTCTCTGTCTATATGGCAAGAGCACGTGCCCTATCGCAAAAACCTCTCCAAAAAAAAAAAAAAAGAAAAAAAAGTTTAAGCCTCAAAATAAGGTTGTTATTTACTAAACTGGTTTTAAGAGGCACATCCTCTCCCGTTATCATCCTCAAAGCTTAGAGCCATCAGTTCCAGATCAGTCCAGAAGGCCCCCAAGCCATTTCTGCCCAAATAAACTCCACCCACTTGGCACCCTTGTTTTCCCTACAGCCTTAGCAGAGAAAAACCGACCTTTCTGGTACTTCTTAATGGCAGTCATCATGTGTGCTTTCTCCTTCTGCCTCTTCTGAAGGACCTCTGTTTGTACCTGTGATATGGACACAAGGACGGTCACACCCATTCCAAACCATTCCTCCAAATGTCTACGTTCTCGTAAAACACTAGCTTAATGCCACTACCGATTAATTTGCTCTGCACCAAGTCTACGTGAAGTGCTCTAAGAGTATTCTCAGTTCTTCTACCTAGCAATCCAATGAAGTCAAAATTCTTAACAATCCTGTTCACAAAACTGCCAATCGTATTTAGGTCTACATCCATCTTTTCCTGTTAATTATGCTTAGATTAAATGTCTAAATCAGTGTTAAGAATGAAAGTACCTAAACTAAAGGGGAAAAAAATATCCCCAAAAAGCAGGGGGAAAAAAAGCTTTAAGGACGAAAGGAAACAGCTAATCACCTAGTACTGTCAGACAGGGCTTCTCGATCTCGACACTCCTGACATTTGGACAGGACAATCCTTGGTTGGGGGTCAGAGTACTGCATGGTGGGGTATTTAGCAGTGTCCCTGCCCTCCACCCTCTAGACTGCACTCTCCCCAAGATATCACAACCAAAAGTGTCTTCAGATAGTGGCAAATGTCCCCTGGGAGGCGAGATCACCCCAGCTGAGAACCACTGCCTGAGGGTTGCTCAAATTATAAACAGTGAGCTCACAGGCTGGACGGAGCTTTCCTCTGCTTCTGATAAATTACGTTATGCTAAACTAACTGCCAGTATCCTGGAGAGGATCTCAGCCTCCAGATCAGTGAAACGATAAACCGACAGCAGACCTTTCAGAAGCACACGGGTCTAGTCTTACGCCACTGAGGATGTATCAGTGAAATGACCCAAATGTGGACAAAGATCTATGGCCCACAGCACAAAGCCTTAACTCAGACTGACCCTCCTCACACTCATTTCTTCCCACAACCCTAACTTTAATTCCTGTCTCATTTCTTAGCTGACTGTGAAATAAAAAAGGAAAAATAAGAAACGTTTTATGGCATCCCTGATCTGGTTTTACATTAGAACCCAGACACTCACAGTTGCAACACACAGACTGAATGACAACCAAAATTCAAGGACTTGAAAATCATCTAGGCCCGTGAGTCCCACACCAGGATTCATATCAGAATTACCCGGCAAGCTCTTGCAAGGAGGAAGCAGCAACATACACAGATTCCCGGAGATTCTGAGGCCCGGAAATTCGTTTCAAAAACTTTCCCCTGGCGATTTACTTTTGCTGAGAGGTCAGATTTGGAAACCACTGATCTGGACCCAACTCTTCCCTGCACGATATGAACACTAAAGCCCAGGAGGTGAGCGGCTCACGGGCAGCCACCACACTGCTCCAGGTGATGCGCTGAGAAGCCTGCTCACAGATCCCAGCACACACGGTCTGCTGAGGTAATGAACACGCAGGCACGTGCACACAGGGAACCAAATCACACGATAGCACTCTGACCTGGCCAACACTCGACCTCATCCTATCCCTGCTCTGCACATTTTCCTCCTCACCTTCTTTCCGTATTTCCGAAGTGCTCGCAGTTGCTTAGCCTTTTCAGATCTCTCCATGGCCGCCTGTTTAGTCTGCAGTTTCTGGCGAATCTAAAACACAAGATTTCGGTTTACATGGTTTGACTCTGGAATGACCCCCACTTAGGGTGCACTGGAACAGAGAACAGGCAAACAGTTCTGCAAACTGCAGAATGTGTGAGCCATCTAGTCTAACCCTGTGTTTCATAGGAGGCCGACAGGCCAAAGGCTGGGGCACTGCATCTAAGGTACTGAAAGAGACCTTCACGCCGAGAATGCTGTTTGTTCCACTACATAGAACCGCCTGCGTACAGTCCAGGAAAGAAGACTGACTTCTCCCCATCCCTACCATCTGTAGACTGATGTTAAAACAGCACGCAGCCTCAGGCCCTCCCCTACTATACCCCGAACAATAAAAACTCAAGGAGAAATCAAGTGCTTAGTTTCTTCCATCACACACACACATTTTGGTTACAGGACGGGAAGCTGTCAGCACGAACGCAGAGATGCATCTGGACTCATCTCTAGATTGTGACTCCCTCGATAGCAGCAAGACACAGCTTCCTGAAATCTGGCTTGAGACTCAAGGGAGCTGTTCAATACAGCTTGGATTCGATGTTGGTTATTCTCTTCCTCTCAAAGTTAAATGAGGACCAAGTTCTTTTTTTTTTGGGGGGGGGGGAGAGATTTTCACTGTAGGGCGCGTGCACTCGCCAGACAGACAGAGAGAAACATAGAGACAGAAAGCGAGAAATCACCCCCCAGGGGGGATGGTCAAGCCGCAATCCCTTCTCCTCCATTCTCCTCTCGGGATCTTGGGCACGCACGCACACGCGCCCGGCGTGAGTTTTAAGCCACCGGGTCCGGGACACGAACTGCGGTTGACCACGCGGGAGTCCAGAGACATAGCCATTACGCCAACTGCTGGTTCCCATGAGGACCAAGTTCTACGTAACCCAAAACTATACCATATCTGAGCCACATATTAATCGCTCTTCTATAGAAGAGAAAGTTGAGGCCCAAAGATAAGTATTCTCTACAAGTTACAGCACTGTCCACGCGATGGCAGGGCAAGAGCGCTGGTCTTCTCCACACATATCATTATTATGCCAGCCAGGAAATGCAAAAGGCCACCTTTACCTCAGGGCCACTTTTTCCAGTAATTTTTCCTTTTCATTGTTTAAACTGGAAAAAAAAAAGTCATGTTTATCTAATCGGTGGTGAATGCCATGACTCTGAAGTAGAGAATCTCTGGAAGATTAAACTGTCCTCTGACAACCAGCTCCCCATTGCTGAACTTACATGTATCTTTCAAAAACACTTACAGAAGATCAGGGCCTGATGGTGGCGTAGTGGTAAAGTACGAAGCTCTGCGAGGCAGCCCTCCAGGGCAAGGGTGCTCATCTGTGACTAGAGCCCTCCCTGAGTACGCTGGGCACGTGTGTACCCATGATCTGGGATGGATAAAGTTGGGGGTAGATTACAGACTAAGACCCTGTCGGGTGCCATCTCTGTCTCTTTTCCTGTGTGTGTTTCTCTTACAGAATAAATAAAAGACTTATAAGCCAAATGTACTTAAGTACAAAACCTAGGCTTTCCGGGGGGGAAAAAAAGCTTCCTTGAAAAACAAACAAACAAAAAAAGCTTCCTTGTTTCTTACCTTCTGCATCTGCTGATCAGACTTGGCCATTTCTGCGAAATAGTCAGTGGGCCGCTTCGTAGGGACTTTGAGCTGATGGAGGCGGGGTAATACCGCAAGGACTGCAGCCTGGGCCTGACGATAGCTAAGGTTATGATACAAAGTGTGAAATGAGGTGAGGAAGAATCCCAGTATTCCTTCTCACCAACTCTCACGGGTTAGCCAAGCTCAGAGGGATTCAACATCTGACCTCTACTCACTTTTAAGAACAAGTGAACAAAAATGGTAATAAAATCTCAAAGTAAACACTAATTTTGTGTTTAGAGGAAATTTCACTGTACACCACTTTTTAAAATGGGAGAGATGGGGACCAGCAAATGGCATAAGTTATGTCGCTAAAGTCCCACATGGCAGACTACAATTCAAGACCTGGACCCAGTGGTTTGAAAATCACACTGGGCACATGTGCATGCATGCCCAAGATCTCAGGAGGAGAAGGGAAGAGAAGAGATTGCAACGTGGCCATCTCCCCAGGACGGGGGGCGGGGGGGGGAGATTTCTCACTTTCCCTCTCATTGTCTCTGTCTCTGGCAAGCGCACACACCATAAGGTAAAAACCTCTTTAAAAATTAAAAACTGGAGCCAGCAGTTAGCACAATGGCTATGTCACTGGACTCCCATGTAGTCGACCACAGTTTGAGTCCCAGAACCAGTGGCTTAAACTCATGCCTGGCATGTGTGCGTGTGTGCCCAAGATCCTAGGAGGAGAACGGAGAATGGATTGCGGCGTGGCCATAAGGGGATGGAGGAAAAGGAATTGCAGAGTGGCCACCCCGGGGGGGGGGTGATTTCTTGCTTTGTTTCTCTGTCTTTCTGGTGAGCACATGAGCCCTATAGCAAAAACCTCTCAAAAAAAAAAAAAAATTAAAATCTAAGGGACCAGCAGATGGCATAATAGATGTTGCCAGACTCCCACAGAAAATCTCATACTAGGCACGTGTGTGTGTTTGCCCAAAATCCCAAGAAGAGATTGGAGAAGGGGTTGCAGTGTGGCCATCCCCTTGGGGGTGATTTCTAGCTTTCTATCTTTCTGATTCTCTCTCCCTGGCAAGTACACACACCTTACAGCAAAAATCTCTCAAAATAAAATAAAATAAAGAGGGGAAGGAGACTATTGCTAAAAAGTAAATCAGCAGATAGTCTGCAGGTAACCTGGTGGTTAAGGCGCTGGCTGACCACGATTAAGACACCCAGAGCTGGTATTTTGCTTTCTCACTTTCTCTTTCTCTCTGTCTCTCTCTGGCCAAATTAAAAAATATATTAATTGTAAATAAAATAAAATTTTAAAATGTTCTTAAATAAATCAGTAGTTTAAGGGAATGGCCACAGCCACACAAAAAAACTAGTAACAATTACGAATTTTTATGCAATCACAAGAACACCCACACAATGAACCTTCCGTAAGAAAATGTTGTTTCTATTAACTGAACACACACCAAAAAAACCTTTAACGGTGCACATTTCAAAGCAGTCCTCAAAATGGAACACTGAATAGTGACTGGTGGGCCAAGGGGCATTCTGTCAACTGCAGAGAACGCCCTACTCTTCTCAGACCTCCCTCTCCTAGGCCTAGGCCAACTCCCCGGGTTCCGAGGAGTGCAGCTCACCACCCCCTCTCCCAGGCACTCTAGCACAAGGACCCCCACCTCTCCCACAGTCGGAAACAAACATACAAACTCATCTCCCGCTGAAAGTCGTCTTCTGGATCAACAGCTTTCTGGTCCTTGTTCTCAGGCGCTGGCTTAGTTCCACTGACTTCCGGCACCGGACCCAGCGTCACGTCGAGCCTTTCCACCCACTCCAGGTCCCGCTTGAACTCAGCCAAGCACTGCTTCAGGCCATTCTAGGGCATTCAGACACTGAGCTCAACAGAAGGAACGTTGAAGTTGTCTCTCCCGGGCCGAGGCGGGAGGCCGACGGGCGGAGCACCAGCCCGGATACCCCGACAGATACGTCCCTCGACAACGCGCAGGCTGAGCCTTTTCTGGGACAACGGCGCCCGGTGTGCACACCGCCTCCGCGCGCCCCGACCCGACGCCCGAGCTCACCACGTCGTTCGCGGCCTTCTTCGGCCCCTCTAGCACCACGTTGAGGCCTGGTTTCAGGAGGCCCCGGGAAAACGCGTCCTGCAGCTGCAGGGCACAGAGGGTCAGTACAGTGAGGTGAGGACCCCCGCGCCCAGCCCGGCGAGCTCAGCTGACACCCACCTCTCGGTCTGTGACAAGAGAATCATCAGAATCCGAGTCCGACTCTGAGAGCGGAGGAGTGTCCATGTCGCCGCACGCACGCCCGACGGCCCCGGGAAGAAGCCGCTGTCCCGAGGCTGGCGGGCGGAGGGCGGCGAGGGCGGCGTTTGCCGGAGCTCCCTGCCTTCAGCGGCCGACTCTCTCGCCGAGCCCCACGTGGGCCACCAAACCTCCGCCAGCAACTCCGGGTTCCTACTCAACTTCGTGGTGGGCTTCCGCTTCCGGCCTCGGATCCGCACTTCCGGTTTGCTGTTGCCATAGGAACAGCTCCGCGTTAGAAGGTGCCGGGTTTGCTTGAGCTCGGTGGAGGTAGCTATTCTGGATAGTCGCGGGGTGCGGGGACCCAGAGAGAAGCGAAAGGTGGGAGCCGGCACCTGGGGATCGTCGGGAAGAGCTGGAAGGCGCGAGAGAGCAAAGGAAACGGGAGCCGCAGGGGCGCGGGGCTGGAGGAGATCAGGGGTCCGGGTCGGGGGCGCGGGGCTGGAGGAGGTCCCAAGTCGGGATCGGGGTGCGGGGCTGGAGGAGATCAGGGGTCCGGGTCGGGGGCGCGGAGCTGGGGGAGGGTCCG